AAAATTTCTTCTTGTATATTAAATAAAAAGAGGTATGGCGTTTATTATTTTTAAAAGAAAAAATAGCGAGCGAAAAGAAAGAAAGATGAAGAGGAAGCAACGAGAGTGGTTATCCTTCATTGTTTTATCTTTAGAACAATGGACATGAAGATGATTTAATCTAATCAAGAAAAATTACTTCTATAATTGGAAATATTTCTTTAATTACATCGAATTCATAATTAATTAAATTTCATTGGAATCGAAGATTCTTTGAAAATAAAATGAAATAAGATCTTTTATAGCAAAATGGCAATTTATTTATTACTCCACAAAAAAATAATTATATTACTTGTTGCTTACTTCTATCTTATTAGTAAAACAAATAATAAACAAACACAATTACAAACGTAAAAAAATGTGGTGAGATTGTGGGGAAATTTGTTTATATTTTATATTTATATTTTGTTTAATCAATTGATTTATTTGTAAGGGAATGAATGCTTTTATAATAGTAATTAATTGTTCAATTAACAGTCAATATTATTATTGGTATATTGAATATAACAATATACATAATATTAAGAATAACAATAATAACAATCAAATAAACAAACAAATAAATAGTACGTGATAAACATAACAATAATAATGAAGCGAAGGATAATATGAATTTCTTTCTAGCAAATAAACAACCTCAAAGGTAGAGTGAATTAATGATCATTTTGTTGTACGAAATATAAATAAAACGAAGCAAGAAATAAATTAGAGAAAAATCAAAGAAAAATCAAAGAAAACCAAATTAAAAAAATGATCGATGAATGAATGAATGAGAACGAAAGAAAAAAGTGAGATTAGGCTGTGACTCGTAACATTCATAGTATATAATACAATAACACAATTTAGTATAATATAATTAATCAATTCATAAAAAACTCTAAATTCGATTTTAGACGTATCACTAACTTTAAAAAGAAAAATGATTTGTGTGGGGTAAAAAAGGGACCATAATAACAAACATTTATGCAACTTTATTATAGGTGAGATTGGTGAGTGATAATTAATATCCACTATTATATCATAATGTCACCAATCAAAAATTTTAGGGCGAAGAGAAGTATTATTGTGAATCGTGATATCTAATGAGGGGCCCTGGTTCTGTATTAGTACAGATTTACATAAGGGATATTTACAATTATCACAAACGAACCTTTTTATATAATAATAAACACCCTAAATCATTGATATTTAATCAACCAATCATTAAAATCATTCGCCCGTTCAATTATCCATCCATACATCCATACACGTTTCATACATGGTATCTAACATTTTTTAAATTGCAAAAAATTAAATTTTTGTAGGAAGGTGCAAGATGAAAATTCATTATAAATTTCTAAAATTTGTTTATTTATTTATTTTATTGTAAGGTATACCGTGAAATATAAATTACACCCCACGAAATAGTGATTAAAAATAGACGAAACTCCCAAAGATTACAAGTAGCACGAGATTATCTTTATCATGAATAAAAGAATACATTTTTGTAAAGACAGAAAGAATTATAATAAAACAATTGTTTTTATTTTTT